GCTGCTGGCTGCAGAGGAATGAGGCTCGAGCTCCCACCTCACTGTATCAATAAGTCCCCAAAAACTGGGCCGGGGACAGGAACGTCCTGGGGGCACCTCGCGCCCTCTGGAGCCAGCGCTCCTCTCCAGGAGCTGAACAGGAAGGGTCTTGAGCAGGGATGGCACGAAAGGTGGGGGCAACCCAGAGATGTACAGGACCTTGGGGCCCCCAACCCCACCAGGAGGTCACCACCTTCATTCAGCCTCCAACTGAAGAAAGTCGAGATGGGCTTTATAAGGGGACAGAACACAGGTGGAGTCTCGCTGAGGCGGCGTCTGATGGCGCCGGGCTCCCCCTGCAGCCCCCAGCACTGGTGGGTTTGCCTGAAAGTGCTTCTAGCCATTACCGTATTTCCGGTAGAGATCCCATATTTCATTAGGTTCTTCTTGGTTAACACAGCACTTTCTGATGTTTTTGTTAATGGTGTCTTTTTTTTTTTTTTTTTTTTTTTGACAGAGTCTCACTCTGTCGCCCAGGCTGGAGTGCAGGGGAGTGATCTCAGCTCACTGCAAGCTCCGCCCCCAGGTTCACGCCATTCTCTGCCTCAGCCTCCCAAATGGCACAAGGCTACAGGTGCCCGCCACCACGCCCGGCTAATTTTTTGTATTTTTAGTGGAGACGGGGTTTCACTGTGTTAGCCAGGATGGTCTCGATCTCCTGACTTCATGATCCGCCCACCTCGGCCTCCCAAAGTGCTGGGATTACAGGCGTGAGGCACCGCGTCCTGCCAATGGTGTCTTTTTAAAACTTCATTTTTAATTGTTTAGGACTAGTTGGTGGTTTTTCTCGCTCCCCTTCCATCTGGTGACCTCGGTGACTAGGTCCTGCAGATCACTTGGGCAGCTGATGTGGGGAAATGTCCTTCCTTCGAGTTCTGTCATACCTGTCTCTCCTCTGCCCCTCCCAGGGTGGGCATGAGCAGCTGTCTTAGCCCTGGCTTGAGGTCCCCACACCCCTCCGAGGTGAAGCTGTGGAAGTTCCAGGTGGCTCCTTCCAGACCACGGAGGAGCCCTTTGCTGAAATAAGCTCCTTGTTGCTTCTCTCACTCTTTCCATCTCAGCCTTGGCAGAATTAGAATGTCCTTTAGCCTTTTCAAAGAATTAACTTCGGATTTTTGGACTTTCTTGATCCTTGCTATTTTTATATACATAACCATACCTAATTTATCTTCACTCATTTTTGATCTTTACTATTTCTTCCCATCTATTTTCATCAAATAAATGTTGTTGTTCTTTAACAATAAGCTGTTTGTTCTTAGCATCTTAGGCTGATGTGTGGGAAACGTTTACTATTTAAAGCTGTAATTTGTCAATGGAGATGACAAAATATTTCTCCTTCAGGTGGGACCTTAGGCGGCCTGGGCAAGCACCTTCTCCTGTGACTGTTCCCCTGGAACCCGTGGCCAAAGTCAGAGACAACCTCCCACACTCTGGGAGCCGTGCCCTGCTTAGAAGCCTCTGAGCCAGGTGGCTCCACACCCCCGACCCCATCCCACAGGTGATCCCTGGGGTTGGAGTGTCATGCTAATCTAAGGACCCATGCTTCCTCCTTCTGCAGAGGAGGTGACCTGTGTCAGGCCCCTGAGGCCTACAGTGTGAGGACTAAGGATGCCCCGGACGCATCTAAGCGTCGGGTTCCTCACTTCCACCTGCTTCTCCTTGACCATGAAACGCCTGGGAGGGCTGCCCTGTGGGCATTTCCTGCTTCTACTGCACTCGTGAGATCACAGTTCCTGAAGCCAGGCCTGCGTCAGCTTGGCCTGGGCCCCTCGGGGCAGACCCTGGTCCCAGTGCTGGGGACGCAGCCTGGGGAAACGGTTGCAGGTGACACCTGTCAGACCTGCTGTTCAGATCTCCTGGGCTGAAAGTCCCCTACAATGATTGATTTGTGTTTTCTTTTCACTTTGGCAACTTTTTACTTGTCATATCTTGAGGGCTATCTCATTAGATGCAGAAATGTAAAGAATTACTGAATTTCTCTGGTAGACTTCCTCCGTTGTCTCAGCAGACATTTTATTTTGACCCGTTTCTTTACTCCAGGATATACTTTGCACGTGCACACACACACCAAACCACACCCCCACACGACACACCCAGCACCCACATAGCCACACTCCACACGCACCCCACACCACACAACTAACACACCCATATACGCACATTCACACACGCCCACACCTCCACCCAACAACTACATACACACACAGTCCACACACACCCTCACACCCTCACACTGCCTCAGCACACCCACATGCACACTCTACCGACACCACTACACACCCAACACACTACACACTCAGCACACCCACATATGCATACTCCACACACACCCACACCCGCACACTACACACCCAGCACACACACATATACACACTCCACACACCCAAACCCACCCAGCCTCTGGGTGCGCCCGGCCTCTCTCCAGCCCTCCTGCGTTCAGGGACCGTCTCTTGTTAAGGAGCATACGGTTTTGCTCTATCCCATTGACAATGCCTGTCCTTCAGTGGATGTATCTACCCCAGTCACTTACAGCACCTGCAGGTTGCCTCAGGCCTAAATCTGCTATTTTATTCCTGTTTCTGTTTCCTCCCTGTTCTGCATTCCGTTTTCTCTCCTGTTTTGCCTTCCTTTTGGATCCACTCCCTGTGTTTAAACGTCCTGTGTGTGTGCCATCCTGCCCTGCCCATCCTGCCTGCCCTTCTGCCTCTCCACCGGTGTCAGCTCTGCCCTCCTCTCCAACCTCACTGTCCAACAGAGTAGGACCGCCACTCCTCAGGGCGCGGAGACCACGGCAACCTGTAATTGCACTGTCGCTGGGACCCTGTGCCGTGTAGCCATGGTTCCCACGGGAGCCTCTGGCCCACTGTAGCTGGGGATCCCGTGCTGGGCAATCCACACCGGTTCCTGCAAAGCCTCTGACCCATTTATGGGACCCTGTGCACGGCAGTCCCGCTGGTTCCCACAAGGAGCCTCTGACCCCAGTATCGCTGGGATGCAGTTCCTGCTGGTACATCTCTCCCCATCTCTGCACTCCTTTCCCTCGGCCTCATCTTCCCCTTGAAGTGCCCTCCTGCCGGCACAGCTCGGGTCTGGGTGGCCAGCCTGCATGTCATCCTCGTTCAGAAGGCTCTGGGGAATACTGTCGAGTCTACCACTGGCCTTTTCCTCGGATCTTTAGGAAACAATTTACTGGTCTTCTAGCTTCTCCATTTTGTTGATTCATCTCTAAATCCCTCTTATTGTTGATCCTTTGAATGAGAGAACATCCAGAAGCACCTTCCTTGGCCATTCCGCCTGCAAACACTGTTCCTTTGGAGCTAAGACCCTCGTTCTGGCTCCAGGACAGAACAACCATGTTCACCCAAAACCTATAGACAGGTCTCAAGCTCCAGCTGTTCTGCCTTCAGCCTGGGTTCGTCCAGACACCTCTGAGCTTCCCAGCTCTCTGCTGCCATCTCCAGGCTTCCCGTGGCTTTGGGCTTGACCTTCGGAGTTCAAGCTGGGTCCGATGACCCCATGAGCTGGGCTCCCAGGTCGGGTGTGTCCATCGGCCTCTCCTCCTGGTTTCTGGTCAAGCGCCATGCATCTCGCCCCACTCACTCCTTCCTGGGCGTCGTGTGTGGCCTGAGAGATCCAAAGATGGGACAGGCGTGTCTTCCATCTTCCCGCTCGCTTTCTGCCTGCCTTTTCCTCCATAGGCCTTGGGATGTCGGCCTGACTCAGCCTCTGCCCACCTGGTCCCTTCCCACTCAAGGTGCAGCCCAGCTGGCAGGTATTGCAGCCTCCTCAGCAGAGGACCCTGGTGGCGAGAGGGGACCCTGCGTGAAGGGGACCGGCGAGAGGGGACCCTGGCGGCGAGAGGGGACCCTGGCGGCGAGAGGGGACCCTGGCGGCGAGAAGCGCCCGACGCTGGCCTGGCTCTCTGGGTTTCTGCTCTGCCAGCCCCCAGACATCCTCAAACAGTGGTTTTCTCACATTTTATCCAGCTGTTCCCGGTGGTCTTGGCAGGACATCCAAGCAGCCCCACCACCCTCAATGGAGCTGGGGCTCAGGGGGCAATTCTCGTCCCTCAGGAGGAGCAGGGGTGTTGGGCTCACCCTCCGGACAGCCTGTTGGGCAACGCCGCCTTCCCACACCAGGCGCTGGAGAGTTTCTCAACAGAAGGTCCTCCAGGGCCAGCCCCCGGCCCCATGTAGGGGAGGGGGCGTCTCAGGACCACCGGCCCCGTGGAGGGGAGGCGAGGGGAGGGGGCGTCTCAGGACCGCCGGCCCCGTGGAGGGGAGGGGAGGGGGCATCTCAGGACCGCCCTGTGGAGGGGAGGGGAGGCGTCTCAGGGCCATTAATAGCCAGGTGGGGAAGGGAGGGGCTTTCAGGGACCTCCTGTGGGAGGAGGAGGAGTGTCTCAGGACCGCGACCCCATGGAGGAGGAGAGGAGGGGAATCTCAGGATGCCGCAGGCACGCTGAGGCCTGCTGTGTCTTTGCGCAGCCCTACAGGGTCTGATGCTGGAAGGGCAGCCACGCCTGCTCCCCCTCAGAATGGGGTAGGGGAGGGGGCATCTCAGGACCGCCCTGTGGAGGGGAGGGGAGGGGTGTCTCAGGACCGCCGGCCCCATGGAGGGGAGGGGAGAGGAGGGGGTGTCTCAGGACCGCAGGCACGCTGAGGCTGCTGTGTCTTTGCGCAGTGCCCACTGGGGTCTAGTGTGGAAGGGCAGCCGCCTGCTCCTCAGGAGATGGGGTGATGGAGGTATCTTGCTGGGCCTGTGCCCTGCAGCCGCCCCCGCCTCCAAATCCAGGTCCTTTGATGGCCGCATCAACCCAGAAGGGGCTTCCTTCCTCCCACAGGGTGAGGTGGTCACCACCCAGTGAGGGTCCGGGAGCCGCCGGGGGGCTCTGGGTGTGAGCACGCTTCAGTGCTGGCCACGCCACGGCTCCTCCACCTGGGAGGCCCAGAGGTGCTCACCTGGTGGTCCGGGGGGGCCCACTTCTCCTTTGGCGCCCTTGGGTCCTGGAGGGCCCTGATTCCCTGGAGGAAGAGAGACCCAGTGCCCGTCACGGAGTGTGCCAGGGAGGCCTCCAGGGTGGTGCCCCTCCTGCCTGAAATGCCCCAGTGCCTGGGGTCCTGGACAGGGGGCATCAGACGAACATGGGGACAGTCAGGGTAGGAGCTCCTGGAGAGCAGGGGCACCCCGGGTCCCCCTCAGCAGGCCACGTGGAGGCCAGGCCACATCTGCAGGCCACGTGGAGGCCAGGCCACAGCTGCAGGGCACGTGGAGGCCAGGCCACATCTGCAGGCCACGTGGAGGCCAGGCCACATCTGCAGGCCACAGGGAGGCCAGGCCACATCTGCGGGCCACGTGGAGGCCAGGCCACATCTGCGGGCCACGTGGAGGCCAGGCCACATCTGCAGGCCACGTGCTGACCAACAGTAGGGATGGGGCTGCTTCCACTCTGCTTTGGGCAGAAAAGCAAAGTCTAAATGGGGAACAGCAAATGGGGCCACCCCAAGGTCAGGTCCTGGACAGCCGTGCTGGGAGGGCCCCCAGGAAGGGCCAAGATCATCAGAACTGGGGCATGGGCTGGGCATGTGGCACCGGCCTTAGGGCACTGGGGGAGTCTCACTGCTGCTGGCGCGGAAAGGAACGTGGGGCCCTGGAGCATCCCTTCAGAGCCTGCATCCCCAGCTGTGAGCCCGGGGCCCTCACCTGGCAATCCTGGAGGCCCGGGGCGGCTGGACTCAGCAAACACCTGCAAGGAACGGGGAGAGGTGGCTGTGAGGGTAATGTTCTGAAATGAAGGCCGCCACCACTCAGGGGTCCCCAAGTCCAGAAGCACCAGCCCCTGCATGAGGCCACATGGCAGCCACCTCTAGTCAGAGACGGGAGGGAACGGGAGGGAACGGGGGTGCGGAGAGCAGGAGCCACGGCGTGACGCCACTTGGCCCTTATTGGTCACTTCACCTTGCTAAGCCTGGGAAAAAGGGGGTGCCCCTAGCACCCCTGGGCTCAGGCTCTTAGCAGAGTTTCAGCTGGAAGCAGCTCCACACCCAGAGAGCCCTCCCTTCCACGTGCCTTCGCCTTCCTCGGGAACTCAGCTGCTAATCCACCGCCCACCAGACGGGCCCATCCCGGAAGGATCCCCGGACGCAGAAGAAGGCCCAGCCCCTCTGTGGGGCTCCGTGTAAGAGCCAAGGGCAGCCGCAGGACAGTGGGCGCCCTGGGGACTTACATTGCTGTCGTAAACAGGAGTCCCTGGAGGGCCTGGGGGTCCTGGAGGCCCTGGGGGGCCGGGCATTCCCTGTGGGGAGGGCAGAGAGCTGTTAGTCAGGCTTATGGCCTGCCTGTCAGGCAGCAGGTGGGAGCAGGGACAGTTCAGAAAAATCAGAAATATCAGAAACCTGACCAGGCAGACCTCTGACCAGGCAGAACCGAGAATGCAGTGGGTCACTCGGGCCACGGCTCCCTGAGGACAGGAGCTGGCCCTGGCCCCACCTCATCCCACGTTGGAGTCGTGCACAGACGTCCCTCGGGAGGAGTGAAGAGGCCACCGGGTCTGCGTCTCAGGTAAAAGCTGACTGAAAATGCCCCACCCTGCTGACACCGGGGAGACAAAGCTCTTGGCTCAAAAGCAGCAGAGTGGATGCCTTTGGGCTGAGCGGGAGAACCCCCAGCATGGAGGGCATGGCCCAGGCCCATGGACGCCCTGCCGAGAATCCATGCTGGCCTGTTGTGTGTGTGTGTGTGGGTGCACATGCGTGCATATATGTGTATAGGTGTGTGTGTGCGTGTGTATATGTGTGCATGAGTGTACGTGTGCAGTGTGTGTGCCAATCATGGAATGAGCCAGGGAGGGCTTACATTCATGTATGAGTATATGGATACACACGTGTATATGTACACATGTATATAAGCATCTGTATACACTTGTATGTATGTGCATGTGGACAGGCACGCATATGCACGAATACATGTGTATAGGTGCACATATGTGGAGTGTGTGGGCATGTGTACATGTATGAGCACGTGTGGATATGGGTGTGCATGAATGCATGTGTATGTGTGCACACATGTATGAGTGTATGGGCATATGTGTGCATGCATGTGTGAGTGGGCACCCATGTGCATGTGTGTGGACATATATGAGTGTGCACAGGTATGGCAGGACCAGCGCAGTGTGGCCACATCATGTATGAGTGTGCATGGATATGGCAGGACCAGTGCAGTGTGGCCACATGGCAGGGCTGCTTATAAGTAGCTCCTGAGAGGAGCCGTAGGACCCCAGGCTGTGGCCAGGTCATTCCCAGGTCCTGGTCTCCCAGCCACCCAGGCTCCCTTGAAGGACACTCACCCTCATGCCAAATCCAAGGTGGGCATCTCCCGGCTCCCCTTTCTCTCCTTTCAATCCGTTCATCCCGGGGCGACCCTGGGGCGGAGCACAGGGGGTGGGGACTGCTGGGCTCTGGTCATCACCAGCCATGTTCCCGCAAGGTGGCTGTGGTAGCCCCACACCAGGCCTGGCCCACACTCAGCCTCAAACGTTCCCAGCCCTCAGGCTACCCCAGCCCTTCTCACCCCTCCTTCCTGCTCAAGAACCCTTTTGGGAGGAGGTGACTGACCCCAGCACACACAGGCCCACTGCCCTGTCTGCCCCCAGGGCCTCCTCCTGGGTACCGGCCCCTCCTGGTGTATTGCCAGCCACATCCAGGACAAGAGCTGTGCCCCGGCCAGTTCTGGGGTGAGGACAGCGGGTGCGGTGGCCGTCTACTCCCCTCTGGGCATGTCACCCCCGTGGGCCTGGGCTGCTCCCCACCTGCCAGACCCCATCTGCTGCCCCCACTGGAGACCCCAGGTCCTCACCGGCCGTCCAGGGAAGCCAATCTCTCCCTTGTGCCCCGGCCGTCCGTACGGACCCTGCGAGACGAAGGGAGCCAGGCTTAGCGGAACAGACCCCAGCCCTTGTCCACGAGTTGGGGGGTCCTGGGGAAGCGGAGGGGCCATGCAGAGCCCATCGCCCTGGGCCACCCGTCAGCTTGGAGGAGCCCGCTGCAGCCTCACACCGACACCTGCCCCATGTGCTTTAAAGCTGCACTTGGGAGATGAGCCCTGGGCCGCACAGCATGAACTCAGCAGCAGCGGGTGACTGTGTCCTTGGGGGCAGTCATGCCCAAGCTCGGTGCAGAGAAAGCCACAGGCCAACTTACCGGGGGTCCTCGGAAGCCCGGCTCTCCCTGAGCAAAAAAAAAACAAGAAGGCACAGTTAGACGGCGGCTTACGCCTCACCCGGCAGCCTCCCTGAGGACCCTTGTGGCCTCCTTGGGTGCACTGGGCAGTCCTCAAGGCGCAGGCAGCCCTGGGGAGGATGGGAGCTGCTGGCAAGGGGAGGTTCAGGATTGGGGTTTGCATCCAGGTTGGTGCAAGCATGGGGTATACCCCGGGGCCCTGAAGCAGGGGCGGAGGGTGTGTGCCACAGTGTCCTGGTTGCCGCAGGCCCCGGCTCCGATGCACAGCTGGGTGGGACAGTGGAGCTCTCGCTGGGCCTGGGGATCCTGTGTCTGAGGTACACCCCTAAGACCCCGGAGGGCTCACTGCTCCTCTGAAAGTGGGAGAGCCAGTGCTCCACACCCCAAAGATCCAGGTTCCTCCCCAGGACCCTCCCCCAGGGCTTGTCTGGGCGGCTGCCTGCTGGGGTGGGGACCCAGGCACAGGCCCCTTGACGAAGTGACTCCGGGCCCTGCCATGCTCAGGGTCCTGCAGGCACCCTGCGGGTGCAGAGAGGAAGGATCCTGTGGCTGCTGCCCACAGCATCAGGGCCCCCAGGAAGAGGTTGGAGGGGCAGCAAGAAACCTGCTGAGGCTGAGGTGGTACAGCCTGGGCTCCTGCACCCCACAGGCCAGGCCCCAGGGAGGCGCGAGTTCAGAGCCGCAGCCCACTGAGAACCTCCCTTCGGCAGGGTGGGCTCAGGGGCAGGGAGAGGACGAGGGGCCGGCGGGACCTCCAACATGGGTGCCAGAGAGGAGGGGCCACGAGGGCCAGGCCAGGATGCTGGAGCCCTGCTTGGGAGAAGCTTGTGCGTCAGGAGCCAGACCCTAAGGAAGACCCTCCCCAGGCTGTCTCCACGGCCCCAGGAGCCCCCACGCCCGCTGGAAGGAGGCTGCCCGGCCCTCACCTTGGCTCCTTTCTGGGCAGGGCCCAGGGCACTGCCGTCGGGGCTGAAGACGCTGCCCGGTTCACCCTTCTCACCCTGGAACAGCAGGTCCGGCAGGGTCAGGGCCAGCTCCTTCCCACAAAGCCTCACCCAGAGCCCCAAAGGCAGGGCCGCCGTGACTAGGCCTCACAGCCTGGGGTCCTCTCACGGGAGGTGACCACAGGGACGGCAGGGTCTCTGTGACTGGGCCTCGCAGTCCGGGGTCCTCTCACGGGAGGTGACCACAGGGACGGCAGGGTCTCTGTGACTGGGCCTCGCAGTCCGGGGTCCTCTCACAGGAGGTGACCACAGGGACCACAGGGTCTCTGTGACTGGGCCTCGCAGCCCGGGGTCCTCTCATGGGAGGTGACCACAGGGACGGCCTGAGCGCTGCTGTACTCCTTGTGAGTCGCAGCAGCAGCTGGGGGGTCCTGGGTTTCTCCCAACAGTGGCAGGCTGGGGCCACCACTGCGTCACAAGGTGGGTAGAGGGACAGCACCTGAGCCCCTTACCTTGGGTCCCGGGGAGCCTCGTTCACCCTTAGAGCCCAGGTCGCCCTTGGGTCCTGCAGGTCCCTGGAATGGAGGCCAGGCAGTGAGGCCCGAGCGGCCAGTGTCTCCCCCATCTCTGACAGCTGCTCCACCTCCCTGGACAGCTGCCCCCTGGCAATATGCCTGCCTTGTCAGCCCCATCAGGGCCCCTCTCGGCCCCAGCCTCACTACGGACACTGCAGCAAGGAGCTGCCTCAGCCTCACAGGTGCCCCCAGCAAGGAGCCTGCCAGGGGCTCTCGCCCACATCCTGCTCCCATCACTTCCTCGGGGCAGTGACTGTCGCTATCCCTCGGGCCTGACGAGGTCCACCCCAGCTTGACCAGGCTGCTCTGTGCTACCAGGAGGAGACCCCTTCCCAGCAGGGAGGGCAGTGGCGGGCAGCGTGTAGCTCTGGCGCCAGGTTACTCACGGGAAAGCCTGCGAAACCCGGCCGGCCCTGGGGAAAAAGGGACAGCGTCAGCCGGGGTCATCACGCACCCACACGGCTGCCCGGACCCCAACCAACCTTGTACCAAGGTCCCCACATCTTAGAAGCCGGGCAGGCACGTACCTCAGGTCCCGGCACGCTCAGGACGGCACCCTGTCCACCAGTCAGCAAAAAGAAAAATCGGAAACAAAGAGCCGCATTTAAAATTAAACTGGACTCCCCCCGAGCGACTTACAAGATCAACAAAACACCAAAACAGGAAAATCAAGGAATATGTTGCTTTCCACACTCTTTCTAGGCCTGGGGCGTCCCTCCTGCCGAACAGACGCCCCGCGGCTCAGAGCGGAGGACACAGACTCCAGACGCCCTAAGCCCTAAGACACTTTTTACTTCCATTTTGGTTTAAACTGCTCCTCCCTCTGCTAGACGCTCCCTTGCTTGCCGGCGGAGGCGGCTCGGATGGCGGGGGGCTTTTCTGACGTTCCAGTGACTGGACCGTCACGCCGAGGTCCCTGTGGCTGCTGTCTCCCAATGCCTGTCTGCCTGCTCCGAGCAAAGCCATGAGGCGGCAGGCCCTCTCCTGCCTTTCCCCAACCCCATTTCTCCTCTCGAGACTGTTATGGTCCCACCTCCCAGGTGAGGAGCCGGAGCACAAGGGTTAGCTAACTTGTCCAGTGTCACAGATGGTGCCTGCTCTCAGCTCTGCCCTGGGCAGCCCCTTCCGCTGGTGGCCACAGAGAAGCAGGGATCTGAACCCCTGGCCACACCCAGCTCTGCTCCCCTGGGCCCTGCGTCTGCCCGGGGCTCAGCGTCCTGCCTAGAGGGGGGCTTGGTCCCTGTGTTCCATGTGGCGGGGCTGGGTGGGGACGCGTCTGCCTCTGTGAGGCCAGCGGGACACGCTGCTGGCAGGCGCAGAGGGTGCAGCCGACGGGCCTGATGGATGGGCTGCAGTGGGGAGGAAGGTTCCGGAACCAACACAACCTTCACCAGAGAGCCAAGGGCGCGTCTGCTGCTTCTGACGGGGCAGCTGGGTGACTACACGCAGCTTTGGGGCCACAATGTCAAGGACACAGGGACTGAACCCGATGGGAGCCTCTGACATAAAAACACTGGCCCCCTGTGCAGGCCTCACCCCTCCCCGGTGTCTCCATCACCACATGGAGCTGGGCTCCCTGGGCGTCTCTGACTGAGGGCCTCTGCAGCCCCCACTGTGGAGTTGGAGTATGGCCTTGCAGTCAAGGCCTGTCCTGACCTGGGGGGTGTGGGGGGCTCAGGGAGGGATCTCTGCACCCAGTGGGGTATCTGGACAGATTGGGCGCCCACCCATGCAGCGTCCTTACATCCTGCTCCGACACGTAGACCACAGGCCCAGGGGGTCCGGGGGGTCCAGGGAGGCCTGGCTGCCCGACTCCATCCTTCCCTGGATCTCCCTGGAAAAGGATGAAACGTGTCCAGTATTTCATCTCAGCCACTCTGGCCAGGACCTCAAAGTCCACCCAGTCCTGGAGGGGGTGCCCAGAGCCCACGGGGGGTGAGGAGGCGCCCAGGGCTGTGGACTGTGGCCTTGGAGCCCCCTGCCAGGCAGGGCAGGCTCCAACAGGGATGGCCGAGCCACACACACTGCCCCCAGCCTGAGAGCCACCCCTGTCAACTTGAGGGTCTTTGCCCCGAGTCTCTGAGGTCACATGGGTGGCAGGGGCACAGACCTGGGGGCAGCTGAGGCCAAACCTTCCAGATGTCCCAGCGCCCCCTCACCCCATCCACCCGCCCCAGGGACACTCACCTTTTCTCCCTGGCTGCCTCTGTCTCCCTTTGGCCCCTGAAGAGATGGGAAGGAAATGGTTCATCACCAACAGAAACAGGAGCCCCTGGCTCCCCGTGAGGAATGGCTGCGATGAAGATGTGGGGTTATTTCCCGACCGGCTGGGGCCTGGCAGGGAGGCAGCCACCGAGAGTCCTGATGGAGACTTGTATTCGGCTCCTGGCACTCAAAGACCCGGGAGGGCACACGGAGGCCCAAGGACCCGGGAGGGACACACTTCCTGCCAGCTTTCACCTTGGCATAGTCCCTTTAGGGCTCCACACCCCCCCTGCACCCTGGGCCCACCAAGGCGGCTCACCTGGGGCCCAGCAGTGCCCTCTCTGCCAGGGAGGCCGGGGAACCCGGGGGCTCCGTTTGCTCCAACTTCTCCCTGAAAGGGTCACATGGAGGACACAGGGCATTGGCCACACGCCCAGGAATGTGGGGACCCCCACGAGGAGTCTGGGGCACCCATGGACGTGGCGGTGGCCTGGGCTTCTCTATCTCACCCCTGTGGGCTTGAGCAGGGGCTGTGGAGGGACGGAGGAGTGGCGGGGGAGTCGGGAGGAGGAGGACGTGGGGAGCAGGACATGGGGAGGAGGAAGTGGGGGAGAGGGAAGTGGAGGAGAGGGGAGTGGGGGAGGGGTAGTGGGGGAGGTGGGGGAGGGGTAGTGGGGGAGAAGGTAGAGGAGAGAAGGTGGGTGGGGGAGAGAGAGTGGGGGAGAGAGTGGTAGGAGGTAGGGGGGAGGAGGAGTGAGGAGGAGGGGTGGAGTGGGGAGGGTGGGCGGAGGTGGGGAGGAAGTGGGTGCAGGTGGGAGAGTGGGGGAGTGGGGAGGGGAGTGGGGGAGTGAGGAAGGGAGGTAGGAGGGTGGAGTGGGGAGGAGTGGGGGGAAGTGGGGAGAGGAGGGAGAGAGAGAGTGAGAGGAAATTAGAGGAAGAGAGAGGAGGAGGGGAAGTGGGAGAGGTAGGGAGAGAAATTAGGAGAGGGGTAGGAGGGGAGTGGGGAGGTGGGTGGGGAGGGGAGGGTGGGAGTGGGGAGGAGGAGGGGTGGGTGGGGGAGGGAGGAGGGGTGGAGTGGGGGAGAGAGGGAGGGTGGGTGGGGAGGGGTAGAGGGAGGGTGGGTGGGGAGGAGGAGAGATCAAGGAAGTGGGGAGAGGAAGGGGGAGGAAGTGGAAGTACAGGAAAGGAAGGGGAGGGAGTGGGGAGGGGGAAGTGAGGAAAAAGGAGAGAGGGTGGGGAGGCAGTGTGTGCAGAGGCCAAGGCCTGTTTGCATCAGAACCACCTGGGAGGAAAAGAGGCCGTATTCTGTTTTGAAGTCAAATAAGAAGTACCCTGGGGGTTGGAGTGCCTGCAGTCGGAGTGTTCTGGGGTTGCTTTGAGCCAGCACGTCTTCAATTATAAAAACAAAACGCAGGTTTGAGGAAGGCCACTGTGAGGCTATCCCAAGCGTGAGTCTCATGAGTGTCCGCCTGGGCCCTCCCTGCCTCTGCCTGGCCACGTCCCCTTCGCATTTCATCTCAGCCATTCTGTGGGACCCCAACCCACCACGGCCTGGAGGAGGTGCCCAGAACCCAGATGGGGTGAAGGCTCCCAGAGCTGTGGACTGTGTGCAGGAGCCCCCTGCCGACCTGGGAAACCCCACCTTGCCCCCATAGCCCAGGCCCCTGCCAGAGATCCCCCTACAATGAATAAAGGGCTTGGTAGCCTGGCAGGCCACAGCCCGTCCTCAGGCAGCGTCCACTCCAGAGGCAGGAGGTGGAAGTGCCAAGTTGTTCGCCCTCACCCAGCCCAGGCCGAGGGTCCCAGGGACACTGAGCAACGTGCGGGGACCCCGTGGTCGCTGAGATAGCCTCATTTAAACAGATTTTAGAAAATTTGAATACATACAGATCTTCCAAAAGCCTTTTGTAATATTCCAATCTTCAAATGCAAACAAAGCATTCTCTAAGAGCGAGGTGCCTGGCGGGAGCTGGCGACAAGTGAAAGTCCAGTCCTGAGGTGTTCCCCGTGCCTTGGCCTTGCGCAGCAGAGGACACATTGATGAGTCGCGGTGGGTAAGTAGCTGCTGAAGGCGAGAGGAAGCCTCAAGCTCTCCCACCTCAAAGCGCCTACCTGGCTCAGGCCTCGGCGAGTAAGTCTCGCCGCGGCTCAAGCTCTCGTGTCCCAGAGACAGGAAGCAGAGGACAAAGCTCCTGGGTCCTACAAGGTCACCACGCCTCTGTCCCCTGAGCCAGGGCCCTGCGTCCTGGGAGGCTGAGTGAGGACCCAGGATCTCTCTCCTATGCCACCCCTCTTTTCAGCGAAGTCTGAGAGCTCCCGCTGAGTGTGAACCCAGGAATCTTCGCTCCTGAAGCTTGGAAAGAATGGGACAATGGCCTGCTGGCAGCTGGAAGTCTGGGTTGGAGAATTGTGCACGATTATTTCCCTGTTGAGCTGTTTTGCTGTATTTTGCAAATTTCTCAGGATGAATTCATCCTCTACTGCATCAAAAAACCCGAGGCAAGGCCCTGTCTCCCCCAGCCCCGGAGGTGCTGAGGCCAGGACCCGAGCCAGCGACCGCAGAGGCCCAGGCACATCCGTCACTGACCTTCAGTCCTGGCAGGCGGAATTCCCTGTCAGGGCAGAAGAGACAGCGTTAAATACAGCTGGAGGCCCTGCCTGTGAGATGCTTCTCCCACAGGAAAAGCCCTTTAGTAACGATCAACAATTAAAAATGTGTGTAAAAATGTACTGACTTAAAATGGTAAATATTCTAACTTATATGGGGAATCAATTAGTTTCTGCCTAATTGAAATTTCTCATTCATTTTTGCTCAAGTGCGAAATGTGGCTCCAGACACCCGTGCTCTCAGCAACTAAACCTCGACATGAAAGCTGGGCCTTGCATTAACTCGCGCCCACGTATTAGCTCTTGGGCAGGGCTGGCCTGGGGGCTCCTCATGCTGGCACCATGGAGAGATGGTGGTGTGGGAACAGTGAGGGGGTGGGGAGGAAGGGCTGCTGGCCCCTGGGTCTGCCCACGAAGCACGGCTGAGCTGTCTGAGCAATTGTTTTGGGATTTTGGTCACTCTTTGCTGGCCTAACCTGAGCAGTACTTATGTTAACAGTAGAACAAGGTGGAGATTTCACAGGAATTTCAGATTCTGGATGAACATTTGTTACTTCCCAAAATTGGAGCCACAAGAATCTGATGTTGAATTCCCAGAAAGGCCTGTCTTTGGGCGGCATGTGGCCCACGCTCCTTTGTCTTATTACCCCCAGTGTCTCACTTTGCAGACCAAGGCCCTCATCCTGTGACTTTGCTTCCAATGAAGGGGCATCTCCCAGGCGAGGTGGCCACGGAGCGCAGCGCCCGCCACCACGTGGCCCCTGCAGCTCTGCAGGCGGTGTCTGGCCCCACGCAAAGCGGTGGCTCTCAGGGACACCCTCTGCCCAGACAACACTCCTCACCCTCCCAGGCCCAGCCCATGCCCAATTCACAAAGAGTGCCTCTGGCCCATCCAGCGCCTCGGGCTGTTGACCAGAAAGGGCCCCGGAGCCTTCCATGTCATCCTGGAGAACACACAGGAGCCTGCACGTGGCCTGTGTCCCTTCTTAAAGGCCCTCCCTGGGGCGACACTGACCCCTCTTTGGGGCCATGGTGGCCTGAGGGAGCTTCCATTCTCGGATGGGGACTGGCAGAACCTGGGCAGGGAGCCCAGGGCAGCCCATCTCGGAGCAGCTCATTCGCTCTTGGTCAGGAGCACAGGTGCGGGAGGTATGGCTGGGCTGGTTCCCCATCCGCACCATGGGGCACAGGCAGAGGGCCAGGCTCACCATGGGAATAGATGGGCCAGGGCAGCGCCAGTGAGACCACCGCCCAGGGCGTGCTGCTCTGTGGTGAGATGCCGGGGGTAGCAGGGCTGAGGCAGGGGCAGCCCGGCACTCAGCGGGTCAGGTGTGGCGGTACTCACAATCCAGCAGGGAGTCCTGGTCCGGTGGCCCAGAACCCAGGGGAGGCCTGGCGGTCAGGCGAGGTCCCAGGGGCTCCTGCCAGGGCCGCTGTCGCGGCGCCAGCAGGGGCAGGGTCTCACTTGCTCCCTGCGTGGGGTGAGAGGCGTGTCAGGGACCCAGCCCAGCCCCCGCTGTCTGCAACCCTGGTGTAAGACACGTTTTCTTATGATGCCCCTTCTAAACCCTGACAAATCAAAAATGAGAACACTCCATAAACAACACAGACCTCACAGCAGCTTTTCTTCTACTTTATGCTGGGGGTGTGTGTGTGTGTGCATATGTTAAATTGTGTGTGTGTACGCGCATATAACAGAATTGTGTGTCTGTGCATATGCTGGGGTGTGTGTGCATATGCTGGAGATGTTTGTGTGTGTGCATATATGCTGGAGATCGTGTGTGTGTGTGCATATGTTGGAGATCGTGTGTGTGTGTGTGCATATGTTGGAGGTTGTGTGTGTGTGTGTGTGCATATGTTTGAAATTGTGTGTGTGTGTGCATATGTTGGAAGTTGTGTGTGTGTGTGTGCATATGCTGGTGTGTGTGTGTGTGCGCATATGCTGGAATTGTGTGTGTGTGTGCGCGCGTGCACATATGCTGGAGGTGTGCGTGTGTGTGTGTGTGCATATGCTGGAGATTGTGTGTGTGTGTGCATATGCACAGCGGTGTGTGTGTGCGCGTGCACATATGCTGGAATTGTGTGTGTGTGTGCACATGCTCACTAGGAAGTATGTGTCTGCCTATATCCTAGAAATATATATATATATACCTATCTCTAAAAATGTCATATGTAATACACACCCCCATATACTAAACTATATATCTGTACCATATGCAAGAATTGTGTGTGCGCACATGTGCAAATTGTGTGTGCGCACATATGCTGAAATTGTGTGTACGCACATATACTGGAAATTGTATGCGTGTGTGTGTGTGCACATATGCCTGAATTGTGTGTGTGTGTGCATTGTGTGTACGCGTGTATATATACTGGAGATTGTATGTGTGTGTGTGCATTGTATGCAGCGCGTGTATATATGCTGGGGGGTGTGTGTGCATTGTGTGTACGCGTGTATCTCTCTGCTGGAGATTGTGTGTATGTGTCACGCATTGTGTAGGCATTGTGTGTGTACACACTGTGTGCACGCATGTCTCACTGGATATTGTGTGTGTGCATTGTGTGTGTGCATTGTGCGCGTGTGTGTCACACATACATTCCCCTCCCAACCTCTATCCCTCTCAACCCCCTCCTGGGCCTCTCCACCACCCTGACTACTTTACCATCCTCGTGTGTGCATTGTGTGTGTGCATTGTGTGCGCGCGTGTATATGCACATGCATTCACTCCCAGCCTCTGTCCTCTCAGCCCCTCCTGGTGCTCTCACCACCTGACTCGCTGCTGTCCTCTTCCTCATGCCTCTCCCCACCCGCCTTCCTTCCCTCATCACCCCCAGCCTGGGGCTTGGCCGTGCTCTGGGGGAAGTTCCCTGTTAGTGCCAACCCTGTCCAGCCCAAGGTGAGGAGCTCCTGATGTTTTGGACATGATTTGAGCGGGTGGCCCACAGAGGCCTGGATCCTCGAGGGGACCTCCGGGGGCATGTGTGGTCATGGAGTCGGCACAGATGCCAACTGGAGGCCCAGGACCAGCTCCCAGCAGCTCCTCTGCAGGGTTCCAGCTCCTCCTCCAGCTCCACTCCAGCAGAACAGGAGGAGGAAGTGGGTCGTTGTGGGGGCATCAGATAAACTGTCTGGTCAAGCAGGCTGTGGCCCAGACCTCAGGCTGCCCGAAAGAAGGCTGGGTCCATGGAGAGTGGCTGCCCTGAGTCCAGAGGGTCTGAGCAGACTCTGGACCAGGCCAGGGCCGCCAAGGACACCCCAGTTGCCTTCAGCGCTCCCTCCGAGTGCCCCCAGACGCTCATGAGCCTGCAGGGCAGGTGGATGGGGCTTGCCTGTGGGAGGATGTTGGGGGGCCCAGCTCAGGGTCCTCCCCAGGCCACAGGCGACCTCTCCACCTGCAGTGGCCCAGCCCCTCCTCCCGAAGCTCCCAGAGCTGCTTTATCGCACTCGCCACAGGGAGCTCGTTTCCAGAGGAGCTCAGCTTCCAGGACACATCTGCCCTCAGTTCATCAGCAGACCAGAGCTTGGTGGAAGCCACATCGCAAAAGTGACAAGGGCCGAAGCCACCTCACCAGAGTGACAGCGGCCGCTGCCAGCAATTCTGGCAGTGTGGACGGATGGCAGGATTGGGGGTCAAGGCCAGCCCCAGGAGAGCTCACTCCCTTGACCGTGGGGCCCCCACCCTCCTTGGGGGCATGACCACTGAGTGGGCACCAGGGGCAGGGGACCGCTGTGCTGGGGATTCTGCTTGTACCTTATGTCCTGGGGCGCCTGCTTCACCCTGTAGGGAAAAGAGCAGGGTTATGACAAAATCAGGCCTGCAGCACAGAGGACAGAGGAAGGCACGTCGCCCTGCCAGGAACTATGCCCCGACCGGGATCCCTGCTTTGCTGCCTGTGCCGGTTTAATAGTTTCTGAGGCTGTTGCCACTGTCAGCCCCCTTTCTGGTATGGTTGGGGTCCTGAAAGGGAAGCCACAAGGGACGCCAAGCCTGATCCCAATGCTGGACCCGGCTCCACGTGGGGCCTGGGGCCTGGATGCCTCCCCAAGGAGGGCCCTTCAGCTCAGCCACAGGCTTAGAGCCGCAAGGGGCATTTACAGCCAACGTCCCCTGCTCAGCCCAAAGCAGAGCAGCTCTCATCCGAGGTCAAGCCGGAGACCGCTCCCCAGGGGGCTGGACACAGGCGCCTCCCGCCAGGTCCACCCACAAATGCCCGGGGCCCCGGCTCCTGGCGTCAGTCCGACAGAGGCTCATGGCCACTGCCTCGTAACCAATGTGGAAACCTGGAGTAAGATCTCAGATCTCGCGGGGCGCCCACGTTCTTAAAACCATGAGTCCTGTCATCATCACGGTCCATAATTTCTACCCGAGTGCCCAGGTCAGGGTGACCTCCAGAGCCCGAGGCCCCAGGCTGTGGGGCTGTCATGGGGGCGCTATTCCTGGCATTTCCCCTTCACGGACGTCACCAGGCACCCCTGGACCCCCAGGGCTCAGGCAGCCCTGGCCACATGGTGTGGAGCTGGGCCCCATTCACCCTAGACTCGAGGGGAGACTTACCAGGCTGCCTTTCTGCCCCATCCTTCCTGGGGGCCCCTCTTTTCCTGGAGGGCCTGGGGGTCCCTGAGGGAGAGCAGAGCATAGTGGATCTTGATGATATTCAGCCACTAAAATCATTTCTGCGTTAACAGGTAATCTGGGCTTCCACAGGTGGCCCGAAGGCAGGACACAGAGCGTTTCCCAGACACAGGGCCCGGGTCCCAGGGCTCACGGGAGACCCCACGGCCTGTGCAACCCACAGTTTCACGGCCACATTGGCAGGATGAGATGGCAGGGCTGACAGGACCATGGCCAGAAGGCACTTAACACCAGGGCTGGGGTAACCGCTGCTCCCTCTGAGAGACGGTCTGGCCACACGTATGAATATGGATTAGGCATATTCTTTAAGCCCAAATTGCCCCTTAGATTGGATGCTGGGGAGGGCTTGCCATGCGGCACCCAGAGAGGCCTCACAGCCAATGGTGATGGCGAACGCCCATCAGGAGGGTTCGCTGGCTCAGGTAGGGACTGTCATGGAGGCAAGGGCACGTCGTGGGTGACCTAACCACACACTCCCTGCCCTACACGCCACGGCACGCTACCAAGCGACCTCGGGCCATGAGATGCCAGCGCAGCGTGACCCAATTACGGCAGCCACGTCTGCAGGCACCTGCTGCCCGTCATGTGTGGCAGAGCCGGTGGGGAGCCTGCCGTGGGGCCCTGAGACCCCATGAGCTGTGCTGGCCAAGCAGGCTCCTCCCTCCCCTGGCCCTCCGGCAGTGCTGACCTCGGCCCTCCCACTCCCACCCATGGGAACTGCTCATGGATATGCTCTGTGCAGTCTGTGGACCCACAGGGCCAGAAGTCGGAGTCCTTGCTTGCGGCCACCCCCACTGGTCAGCACCCCCAGAACCACGGGGTGGCCACTGAGGTGCCTCCACACACCCCAGGCAGCCCCAAGTCAGCAGTCGTCCGCCAGCTCCCAAAGATGAGGTGAGGGGCAGGGACTGGGGAGGCCTGAGGCGGGGCAGGGGCCCCACGTGGCGTGTTCACCCCCCACTCCCAGCAGACAGGGCTCGCGAGGCAGGACTTACCGGGAGGCCAGGAAACCCGGGGGGACCCTCGCGCCCAGGCACACCAGGAAGGCCGGCGGGTCCTGGGACGTCAGAACTGTTCACCCCAAAGCGGCCTGGCTCGCCGGGCAGGCCTGGGACACCGGGGGGTCCGGGGGGTCCGGGGAAGCCTCGAGGACCCTGGACGTGGGCAAACACAGATGGTCACAGCCCATGTGGCACCCACCAGGGATGACCACCACCCCCAAACCAGGCCTCGTCCCCACCCCCACAGGATCCCAGCTGAATCTCGGGGGTCCGTGGCCTGTTCCTCACGAGCACAGACAATGGGGAGCGCCGCAGGTTAAGGGCCACTCACCCGCAGGGCCTCCAGATCGCCACCGAAGCCAGATCCCTCCATGTCAATGAAGGTCTGAAGAAAAGAGCCGAGAGACGCGTTGCCCTGAGCTTGGCCCCCGCCTGGCTACTCCTGGCCCCCACCCCGCAAGCTGCGTATCAAGCTGTTTCTACGAGGAGCTGAGAAACCACGGCCCTTCTGCTGCCCCCAGAGAAGCCTGAAGGCAGGTGGGTGGGAGCTCCCACCGCACCTGTAACCCCTCAGCTCAGCTGAGACCCCATGCAAGCCCCTGAGGGTGGAGCTGATGCTCCTGGGCCAGATGCCCTCCCAGAAGCAGTGTCTGCTTTTAAGGAGGGCAGACCCCAGGTCACAGGAAGCCAAGGGCGGGACTCACCAGCTTGTCGTGTCTGAAGGAGGGTCCTGGAGGCCCCGGAGGCCCTTGAGGTCCTGGGGGTCCTCTCGCTCCAACCCCGGGGTCTCCCTGGGAACACAAGACAAGCTCGTCACACCCTGGACACGCACGCAGCCCCCACCTTGGGCTAAGGGCCAACACAGGAAGGGGCCCCGCCCAGCCACAAAGACTCACCTTGTCACCCTTGGGGCCCACGTCCCCTGGAGTCCCGGGGAAGCCCTGCGGCCCGGTGTCACCCTGGAACACAGCAGCCGGCAGCCCGGTCAGGGGAGGCACCCCACCACGGGCCGCAGCCTGGCACCCTCAATGCTCTTCCCCCAGGCAGGGGACAGACGGGAGCTGAGCTCTTCAGGGGAGTCTCCGGGGCCCGGAAAGTAGGAGGGTGCCAGGCCCAGCAGATTGTCTCCCACCTGAGCCCATCTCGCCAGCCACGCCTGGGGGAAGCTATGGGGAGCATCCTTCGGGAGGTCACGGCAGGTCCCCCGATGGCCTCCACAATAGCCGGTGCTTGGGTTGTTACATATGTGTGTGTGCATGTGGTATGCATGGTATGTGTGAGGGGTGTGGTGTGTGCATGTGTGTGCACACATGGTATGTGTATGTGTGTAGTTCATAGCCATGTGTGGTGTATGCCGTCTGTGTGTGTGGTACGTGTACATGTGTGCATGTGCCCACTGGTGGTATAATATGTGATGTGTGCACACGTGGTGTGTGTAGTGTGCATGTGTCCACGTGTGGTGTGGGGGGATGTGGTGGGCAGAGCATCTGCGTGTTTGCTGCACGGGTAAGCAGGTGAGGGCCTCGTGCCTAGGTGAAGGTCAATGTTTTGAAGTGTCCAAGTGAGGGTGACAAAGTCGGGCAGGATTTCCTTTTCTGGATGGAAAAGTCTAAGATCAAGCCTGTTGCTGAGCCCTGTGGATCCTCATCCCACTCACTCACACATTCACACATGCTAACACTCACATACATGCATGCACATGCACATACATTAACACACACACACGTTCACACATGCACACATGCAAACACTCAAACACATGCATGCACACACGTTAACACATGCACACACATTCATACACGCACATACACATACACACGGACATGCACACACATTCACACACATGCGCACACATGCGTGCACACACTGAAACACATTCACATAAACACGCACATATTCACACACACATTCACACATGCACATACACACACACACACACGCACACACATTCGCACACGCCCACACATTCACACACACGTGCACACTCTCAAACACATGCACACACATTCACACAGTGCACACACGTACCCACATTCACTCACACATGCTCACACTCGCACACATGCACATTCACACGCACACACATTCAAACACAGGCACACGCATGCACATGCACACACACACATGCACACACGCACACACACGTGTGTGCCCTGTTGTGGGTGGGCCCCATGGATCCTCACCCCACACTCACACACGTGTGTGTACCCTGTTGCAGTGGGTAGGCCCCATGCCACTCCCCCAGCCGACTGCCCTGCTTAGTCTGCCATGGTCCTCATTGCAGGCAGCTTGGCTGTGGGGTGCCAAGCGCTCGGTAATGACTGTTCAGTGGGCACCATGAGATGCCCTCCCTGTCCTTTCAGACTTTCTAGATTGTTTTTAACTTGAACTCTCCTGTCCAGCGCTCGTGACGGCCCCACTTTCTGCCGAGTGTTACCATTCGCTGGGCAGGCTATTCCCAGATTATTCGCAGTCTACCACGTCATTTCACTGTGCTTGGAAACAGTGTTTGCTGATTTTTAAAATCTGAACTGCGTGTTTTGAGACAGAAGCTCTGACTTTACAGATCCCCTGGTCGCTCCTCGCTTCTCTCCTGTCTTGCGCCCCCACCCCCTGACTTCCGTTTTCTTTGCTGTGCGTTTTCCCTCTAAGGGTTTGGAAGCTCTGCCTTTTCTCACTTTCTTTCCTTCTTCCTGGTAGTTGTGGCCAAAATGTCTCAACACAAACACGTAACTACCTATTTCCCATCAAGTTACACTATCTTTTCTTTACAAAATTTCATTTTAAAAATGGTTTTGCTGTGCAACACAGCCCTGGGGTCCAGGCAAACATCACAGATAACATGGGGATCAGAAGAAAAGCAGACTTACCGGCTTTCCGTCTTCACCAGGGTCACCCTGGGTGTGCAAGAGAAGCCGTGAGTGATCGGAAATGCCACCTCTAGCCCCACCCAGAGTCTGCACATGGAAATGCACCGCACACCCCAAGTCCCCACAAGGTGGCAAAGATGCCTTCCCCGGATGTCCCGGGACCCGCGCCAGGAGCCTCCTCGCACCCACAAGGGCTGTGTCTGAGCAGCTCCGCCTCCCACATCAGACCACCTTCCAGCACCAACCCCACGCAACGGTGGTCCCAAGGATGCTGCTGACCTGCCCCGATCCCAGCTCAGCTCACTCCCACATCGGCCGCAGCCTCTCCCCGTCCTGCCCGAGCTCCCACCTCCAGAAGGGGCTGGACTGGATGGGCAGGAGGACTCACCGGCTCGCCATCCCTTCCAGGGGTGCCGTCCCTCCCTGGCAGCCCTGGAGGTCCTTGTGGTCCAGGGACAGGTTGCAACACTGGGCCTACAGGACCCAGGGGACTGACTGGGCACGGGAGACCCGGGGGACCAGGCAGGCAGGGGGAGCCTGGGGGGCCTGCCCGGCCAGGCGGGCCTGGAATACCTGGCTCCCCTTTCTGCCCCTTCAGGCCGCCCTGGGAATAAAGAGAACACAAGGGCCCGGGCTGGGGTGAGGCCCCACACACCCTGCCCACGTGCCCCGCTGTGCCCTATGGAGTCCCAGGCTGGGCTCTGCTTCCCACGGGGCACACACAGGGTGGATGCATGCTGGCACCGTGCGCTGGGCACAAAGGAGGCACGGGCACGGAGGGGCTTCATCAGGGCTCACCAGTGAGTGGCCCGAAAGGCCACGGGTGCTTTGGTTCAGAATGGCTCCGGGGCACAGGGAGGTGGCCTTACCTCTTTCACGCGGCCCCCAGGGGTCCGGACACTCCCGTCCCACGTGGAGACAGAATCTGAGCCAGGAAGTGTCTGAGCTGAGAAGAGAAGCAGAGGTGGTCACTGTCAGGCCCCCCAGGTGGCCCCAGCTCTGTTCTCGGCATCCCAGATAGCCCCGGCAGCCCAAACGCATTCAGTCCTGGAGACTGGTCGGACACCATCAGATTCCCAGCCTCAAGCTGCACTCCCCTAAGCTCTGGCTCCCAGGCACAGGAAACAGGGAGAGAGAATTTAAAATCAACAGTGAGGCCGGTGTGGCCACCTAAGCCGATGACAGCTGAAACCTGGGGGATGCTTCCTGAACTTGTTACAAGAGACCCTGGCCCCCCAAAATGCCTTCTTATCAGCCAGCATGCTTTGTCTCTTTTCCTCTTTCCCCCTAACTTTTAATGAAAATAAAAATGAAAACCAACAGAAATCCTGCAACAGAAGCACAGTGAATACCCAGAGCCTGTACCCAGAGCCACCATCCAGGCCTCGGCATCTCCCCACCTGCCTCACACACACACATGCTCTACACACAATACACACACACATACTACACACACACATTACACATGCACATCACACACACTACACACAATACACACACACATACTTTACACATGCACACTCACACACACTACACACAATACACACACACACACACACACACATCACACACACATTACACATGCACATCACACACACACTACACACAATACACACATACTACACACACACACTACACATGCACATCACACACACTACACACAATACACACACACATACTACACACACACATTACACACGGACATCACACACACACACTACACACAATACACACATACTACACACACACATCACACATGCACATCACACACACACTACACACACCATACACACACACATACTACACACACATCACACACACATTACACATGCACATCACACACATACACTATACACAATACACTACACATACAACACACACCACGCACTGCACACCACACGTACACTACATGCAACACACCCCACACACGATACACACCACACACTGCACACATCACACTATGCACACACCATACACACCCACACACGCATACACCATACATGCTACACACACATCAAACATCACACATGTCACACAAACATGCACATCACACCACACATCACACACATCAAACACGTGCCACGTTACACATACATGCACTATATACACCACACACTACATACACCATACATCACACACATACCTCAGCATCACACAAACATGCATGTTACACACCACACTCACACACGCACCACACACACCCCACACCACACCACACACACACATCCAGAAAAGAGTTTACCTCCTAATGAAGTCACCGTGGTCTGCTCCTCGATTTCTTCACTTCTGGAATCTTCTGTGCTGCTGCCTCCAGCCAAGGGTGGAGCAGTGACTGGGGGTGGTGTGGGGAGCCTGGGTTTTAGGGCTGTGCCCTGGAGAATGAGAGGGGAGATGGCCTGTTATTCAGCCAGCAGATGCCCAGCAAAGCCTTGCTTGGTTCGTGAAATGAAATACTTAAGATTGCAAGAAAGATAAAGAAAAATCCTCTGAAACAGGAGGGCGCCGCAGGGCTGCGTGCAAGGGGCTTCCTTCCGTGGGCCACAGGGGTGTGGCCGCCTGTGGGCTCCCCGGCTCCAGGCTCCAGGACCGTGCCTGCCATCACCACAGAGGCCTCCTGGCACCCAACAGGCCATGCTGGGAAGCTGATGTGAACCTGCAGAGGGTCCCTGCAGGGACCACATTCCCACGCCCGTCTCTAACGGAAAGCACGGTGCCTCAGTCCTGGGGCTGGGGCCTCCCCGCTCCCTGCCCCTCCTGTGTTTTCTCAGGTGGCCCGAGCTGGGGAAAGCCCTTCCTCATGCTCCCTGCATCGCCTTCTCCTCCTGGTCATCAGACTCACACACCCGTTCATTCCCTGGTGGCCACCCACGAGCTAACGGAGGGATGGGGCGAACGGAAGGCCAAGGTCGCCTCAAAGACCAAGGAATGTGCAGGGCAGGACCTCGTTTAAAGGAATGTCCTCTCACCAAAGACACGCGGTGGTCAGGCAGGACTGGAGTGGGGCCTGTCCCCAGGCTCGGAGCGTCTGCCCAGCCCAGCATCCCTGTTCCCAGCCGGGAATGTGTCTTCATGGCACAGAGGCAGCTCTTGGAGCCACACCTGTGTGTGCACATGTGTGCACTGCACTGCTGGAAGGGGCTCTCCTGGGACCCTGCAGGGTGGGCTGGGCCTCGTCCGGCTACTCACCATCTCCTCCCTGAGAAGCTCCCGGGTGTCCTTGAGCCCGCTGCCAAAGTCTCCAGATGCCTGAGGAGTTTGAAAAGGGAAAGGCTGGAGAGATGGCAGCGAGGCCAGACCCCGAGCCCAGCAGCCCTGGGAAGCAAAGGAGGCTGCTCTTGCCTCCTCCCAGCCCCCTCCCGCCTCGTCCAGCCCTCTCTGGTGCTCTCGGAGGGGCCGCTGGGGTGGGCACGCTGCCCTTCCCTGCCCAGGCACCCTCTGAGCTTCAACAAATCTTGTCCAATCGGGTCGCGGACGGTGATGCTTCTGAAACTGCCTCGGCTGGTGGTCAGACATGTGGAGGCAGGAGAGGAACACGCTCCTCTCCTCTGGCCGGAGCCCTGCCCTGGAGGAGGCCCCACCACAGATGCTCCCCACACAGGTTTCCCCAGCGCAGGCCCCGCTGGGCCCAGGCCTGGGCCGAACCCGCACCAGGTGGCTGGACGTTTTAAACTTCATGAAAACCCGGAGGCGAATCATCCTCAGGGCCCGCTAATGACCCCTGAGGGCAAGGCAGGCCAGGGGAGGGGTGCGGCGCCTCGGAGACCCCCAGCACCCAGCAAGCTGTACCAGGGCACAGCCTTGTCATGGCCGCCATGTGAACAATCTGGCATCTTCTGGCATGTTCCAGGCAAAAACAATGGATTTACCAGGTGAAATATAGAAAAAAAACATGAAAGTAACATGGATGTGCACACGCTGCCCACAGTTCAGCCACGGTGTCTCCTGCCCACGCCGCCCAGGAGTGAGGCTGTTGGTCCACGGCCACGTGGGGCACGCTGTGATCTGGGCCCCCGAGTGAGAAGAATTCCCTGCTCTTCCTCACACCTGGGGCCAGCGGACTCCCCTTGGCTACCACAGGATTCACACACCCCACCAACACACACGTCGCACTACACACACACTGCACAACACACGCGCCACACAACACACACGCCACACAACACACAGACACAAACACAAGACACACACGAGATTCCACACACCCCACCAACACGTCGCACAACACACATGCCACACAACACACACGCCACACAACACACAGACACAAACACAAGACACACACGAGATTCCACACACCCCACCAACACGCCGCACAACACACACGCCACACAACACACACGCCACACAACACACAGACACAAATACAGAGACACACACGAGATTCCACACACCACCAACACACGTCACACAACACACCGCACAACACACAGACACAAACACAGAGACACACATACGAGATTCCACATACCCCACCGACACACACGCCACACAACACACAAGGCACACACGAGATTCCACACACCCCACCAACACGTCGCACAACACACACGTCGCACAACACACAACGCACAACACACACGCCACACAACACACAGACACAAACACAGAGACACATGAGATTCCACACACCCCAACACACACATTGCACAACACGCTGCACAACGCACAGACACAAACACAGAGACACACACACGAGATTCCACACACCCCACCAACACACACCCCAACACACACCCCAACACACACCCTACCAACACACAGGTATGGAGACACGCATGAGATTCCACACACCCCAACACACACCCCACCAACACACACACCCCAACACAACACACCCCAACACACACCCCACCAACACACACCCCACCAACACACACAATAAATACACCCCAACACACAGGTACAGACACATACACAAGATCTGCCACACCCCAATACACACGCCACACAACACAGAGACACCACAGATTCCACACACCCCACCAACACACACCCTCACCAACACACACACCCCACCGACACACACCCCAACACACAGGTACACAGAGACATACGCATGAGATTCCATACACCCCCAGCAACACACACACCATACAAATACACAGACACAGAAACACATGCACCACGCAGACATACAGATACAACACACAAGACAGAGACACACACCATACATACACACACACACAGACATACACATACACACAGAGACACACCACACAGAGACACACCTACATCCACACACACAACACCCAAGACAGACACACCACAGAGACACACCACACACAGACACACCACAGACATGCAGACACACCACACACCTGCACACACAAGACACAGACACACCACACAGAGACACACCACACACACAGAGACACCACACACAGAGACACACTACACACACACAGACACATCACAGACACACACGACACACAAGACAGACACACCACACAGAGACACACCACACACACAAGACACAGACACACCAGAGACACACACCACATATGCACACAAGACAGACACATCACACAGATATACACACACAAAAACAGACATGAACACATCCACACATAATCCACAAGACACAGACACACCACACACACAGAGACATACCACACACACACAGACACACCACAGACATGCAGACACAACACACAAGACACACGCACCACAGACATACACACACAAAAACACAGACATGCACACATCCACACACAACACCCAAGACAGACATACCACAGAGACACACCACACACAGAGACACACTACACACAGACACACTACACACACACACCACACACACACACGACACACAAAACAGACACACCACACAGACACACCACATACCCACATAAAGACACAGACACACCACACAGAGACACATACCACACACAACACACAAAGACACACCACACAGACACCACACACACACACCACACAAGACACAGACACACCACACACACACACACTTTGCTGAGCTGCCTCACATCCTCCGTCTCACCAGCTGCCATGGAGGGTGGTTCTGGTGTTTATTTTATGCTTTGTGTTAGTTTTTATGTGGGAAAGTTTAGGGCAAGGAAGGGCTCTGAGGTGTTACAGGAAAGCACGGAAACGGTATCGCAGCTTCCCGGTACCCAAAGTGGCATCTTTTGGGACTTTTCCTGTCACAGCCCTTGGCCCTGAACTCCGCGTGCCAGGGGTTGAGGGAGACCCCGCCCAGGACCCGGCTGTCACTCACCCCATCTGAGTCATCACCTTCCTCGTCCAGGCAGTGCATGGGGCCCACCTGGGGGTCCCCGCGCACCTTCAGCTCAGCGATCATCCCCTAAATGCAGACAGAGAAAGGGGTCACCAGCGGTCCTGAGGCGGCAGCGGCAACCCCGGCACTGCCTGAGCTCCAGATTTCGGCGGGCTCGGGCCCACAGAGGGCAGGAGCGTCTCGGGGAGGGAAGGGGTCTCGGGCAGCCTCCTGGGGGTGCAGTATGCCTCATGGTAGGAAGACGTGGTGAGACCCAGAGGATCCTGGGCGCTTTCGTGTGGAAAGCACCCGGCTAGGCGGAGGCTGCTCCCTCAGACTCGGCTCATCCGAGGCGGCTGATGGGCCACCTGAGTGCTATGGGTTTAGAACCACAGTGGGCATGGCTCCATCCAAGGCCTGAGAGAGAGGGGCAGATTCGAGGGGCTGCAGGTCAAGTCCCCCAACCCCAAGTCCTGGGAGCTTTACATAAGCCCCAGGCAGCCTCATCTCCCAACTTGGACCAACCAAGGCAGCACCACGGCTTTGCTTTCTTTGAATTTTACCTTTTCATAAAAAGCAAAACCCAGAAGCCAAGGACCAAAACGCCGCAGGTGTGGGGGAGTTTCCTAGATCTCTGCACCCATTCCGTCTGGAGCCGATCTCACTCACCCACCCACCACTCCCTCCGGCATCCTCAGTCCTGGGCTGAGCGCCAGGGTGCCTGCCCCTGCCCTCTCAGGTCCTGGCGCGGCCGGCAGTGTCTCATGAGATGCAGGCTGGGGACGCTGGACAGGGACATAGGAGGGCGCAACATCCTAAGCCTCAAGTGAGCAGCTCGTCCGGGGGAGAGGACACTGGGAGGGGCTTTGGCAGGAAGAGGGGCTGCCAGGTGGGGGCTGTGCACAGGACCAGGGGCTCCACTGGCCGCACTGCGGGTTCTGCATCCTGGCCTAGATTTCAGAGCCAAGCGAGGCCAGGTGGAGCCTGGGGATCCCCACGCCAGCTGGGCCCCAAAGCCCGGGCAGGTGGCTCAGGAGTGGGGCCTGAGCCTACAGGATGGGGTGTGAGTGCTGAGTGTATGGGCACATGTGCGTGAGACCATGCATCTCCGTGGACACGTGTGCAAACATGAGATCATGTACGCATGTATGTGAGTTCATGCATGGGGCATGTGGACCCCGTGAGCCCCCTGGGTGTGCACGGGTTTCCCACAGAATGCACTAGCGGTTCTCAGCGTCACACTGCAGGGGAGGGGCATTGCCTACAGTGCCCCAGGTAGGCCAGGGGCAGCACCGCGGGGTCCAGGGTCCACTGTCCTCCAGGACCTGCTGCGTGGGGGCAGGGCAGCAGCCTTCACATTCAAGAGGCTCCAGGTCATGCCTGGGGAGGAGCCGGGGTTGCATTCTAGCCCTGGGGCAGCCCGGGCGGGGGCGGGTGCCGGGGGGTGCATCTTAGGTGGTCTTGGTGTGGGGGAGGGGCTGGGCATTCCTGACACCCATCCCCACGCACACTCGCCCGTGAGGCCCTGACAACCTGACAGGTGGCCGCCATGCTCTCCAGCCACAGCGCTCTCCTGAGGGTGCTCCCGAGGGCGCCGACGCCTTCTGCACAGGGCTACAGGGTGCCTGGGTCGGGGGCAGCTACAGAGAGCAGAGCAGCTCCGAGCCTGTGACGGCCACTGGCTCCAGGGGTGGGGCAGATGGCACTAGTGCAAAAGCCACAGGCCCATTGCAAATATTTAAGGGACTTCGGACTGAAAGTTATGAAATCCGGAGACACCCGAAACAGAGATCACAGGAATCCTGTTAGGGAAAAGCGTGTAAAATGCTTCCCGACATGCTGCAGCCTCAGCGCCCTGGAAATCAGGACACAGCTGGAAATGACGTTCACAACAGCACAGCTGGGGGGTGCGTGATTTCCCGGGAGACGGCCACTGACAAACCCGACCCAAGAAAGTGAACCTGAAAAGACCAACAACGACCCAGGACTCTTACGACCAGGAACACAACCAACGCTCTGGAGGGCTCTGTCGGACCCCACGGAGGCCAGGGGTCCCAGGCACCATCTGTGGCAGCGTTGGGGGCACTGCAGCCTCGTGGAGTCTGAGGAGGAGGAAGTCTCGGTTTCCTCCCTGCTCCCAAAGCTGTGCGCTTGTTTCTGCCAGAAATGATGAGTCACACAACTCGAATGTTTCTTTCCCAAGAATCTCAATTCAGACGTCTGAGAAAATCTTGTGCTGAACAATTCCACCTTCTTCTCTACCACACAAGCGTGCTTCTCCTCTCCCCAGCTGGAATCTCATCAAGGACCCAAAGAGAAAGTTCCTGACACCTGAGGCCTGCAGGGACCTGACACAGAGATCAACTGACATGGCCTTCAGCACACGGCCCGCGGCGCCCCACCCACGCCCAGCAGCACACGACCCGCGGTGCGCCACCCACGCCCAGCAGCACGAGGCCCATGGCGCGCCACCCACGCCCAGCAGCACACAGCCCGCGGCGCGCCACCCACGCCCAGCAGCACACAGCCCGCGGCGCGCCACCCACGCCCAGCAGCAGGAGGCCCGCGGCGCGCCACCCACGCCCAGCAGCACGAGGCCCATAGCGCGCCACCCACGCCCAGCAGCACACGGCCTGCTGCGCGCCCCCCAGGTCCAGACCCAGGGCCCTCTAGCTCCCTCCTGTTCCAGCTCTCTGACCTTCCAAGGTTTCATTGGGCTGTTGTAAATCATGGTGTCTTCTCCAGGCCAGATTTAACCACATAAGCACATCAAATCCCAGCCGGGCGCAGTGGCTCACACCTATCATCCCAGCACTTTGAGAGGCTCAGGCGGGTGGATCACCTGAGGTCAGGAGTTCGAGACCAGCCTGGCCAATATGGTGAAACCCCATCTCTACTAAAAATACAAAAATTAGCCAGGCGTGGTGGTAGATGCCTGTAATCCCAGCTACTTGGGAGGCTGAGGCAGGAGAATCACATGAACCCAGGAGGCAGAGGTTGCAGTAAGCCAAGATCACCCCATTGCACTCCAACCTGGGCAACAGAGCAAGACTACATCTAAAACAAACAAAACAAAAAACCCCCAAAAAACCATATATCAAATCCCAATGGTCAAAAAAAAAAAAAAAAAAGACAAGGTGGAAATAAAGTCTGCAGCATGCGAAACCAAAGAGCAGTTTCTTTTACATGTAAGGAGTTTGTATAAATCAATGAGTTGGGTCCACCGAAAAACACAGAGAACATAAACCAGTCAGTACAAAGGAAGAAATACAATAAACAAGTGGCAACGTGGAAGTCTGCCTTCACTAACAGTCCAAGAAATACAAAATTAAACACCCAGACCCCCTTTTCCTACACATCTAACTGGGAAGTGGGACTTCGCTGATGAGGAGGCCTTCACTGCAGGGGGGCGGCCCGGCTCTCGCCAGCACCATCGGGCACAGCTGTGCACCCACGTACCCCAGCTCTTGGCACGTGGCCGCCTTTCCTTACAGCGTTAAAGATGTACAGCACTTGTGGGCGACTTTATTCCACCAAGAAATGGCTGGGGATTCACACAACAAACTGCCTCTCACAGGAGGGGGTGACTCTGACTTCTTTCCCGGCAATCATGTTTGTGATCAAGAGGAAAACAAAGAGGCCCAGTTTGGTGTCAATGTCCTAGCGGCTCCTGATCTCTGAGGGTTAAAAGTTCCTGCCAAAGGTGAAAGGTCAGCTTGCAGAACCCCCAGACACCAGGACTTAGAACAACTTCAAACTAACAGCCCTTGTCAGGGCAACAGTTACCTTCTGTCCCCTGTGGCCCGCCAGGGCAGGGGCGTCCCAGCTGCGGGCCAGCTCGAATGTTAGAATTCAGGGACTTCAGTGTCAGCTGAGGTCACCCACACGGCTGTTCCCAGCCAAAGGTTCCCAGAAATGCACAGGCTTTGGACATAGACCCCACATGGGTTTAGGGCTCTGTCCGCTCCCCCAGCCCCAAGAAATGAAGGTGCATTGGAGGGACTTCCCGGAGACTCAGGTGGAGACGGCCACACGCCATCACCGCTGGGGGATCCCACCACGTGCTCCGAAGTGGAGTCTTACAGGCCTGGGGCTGCCGCACCCATGCTAAAGGTGCTGACCTGCAGGGCCGCCCTGAGCCCCTGGTCCCAGCCGGTGTGGAGTCACCACAGGAGAACCCTGCTGGGACCGATACCCTGCTGCCGCCAGCTTTGGATCATTCATCGTTTTCAACAAGGACCCCAGCTTTCATTCTGCCTGGGGCCCCGAGGCTTGTGGCTGGGCCCAGACTCAGTCCCCACTCACCCAACGGGCCGGTCAGAGGTCGGGAGCCCCAGTTCACCACGGGGCTTGGCACAGGCCTGGGGGTGTCTCTGGGTCACGGGGTCACGGCTGGGCTGGATGTCTAGTTACAAAGTCGTTCAAATGGGGCCCTCCTAGGCTGGGCCTTGGTGTCTCAGAGAAACCACAGAAGCCCAGGGCAACCCTCCCTGGGGGCACAGGAGCCAGAGAGCCAAGAAAGTGAATGTTACCCCAGCCAGGCCGGCCAAGAACCCGGGAGGCCTGCACCGGAGGCCAAGGCCGACCACAGCTGGGGTGGGGCTCTCCTCTTCAGGCTGCAGCTCTGTCCCTGTCCCAGTGGCCACCGCCACCCCAGCCTACCCTGGCTGCTCCAGCCCCCCGGCAACGGCATAGTGGGGGTTACCTGGAACTTGTCAGGGTCCGCTCCTCCTGCCTGAGCCACGAAGAGCCCAGCGCCGGGCTCCAGCTCCAGACCCCGTGAGGACCGAGCGAGCGGCATTCTCTGGAACTCCTCACAGTCCACGTAGAGGGCCACGTAGCCACCCTCCACACTGAGGGCTAAGTGTGTCCACTGGCCAACGAAGGCGGGGAGCCGGAAGCTGGCGGCTGTGTGGGTCTGGCCTGCGCCTGGCTCCGTGTAGAGCAGGGAGATGTCCTGGTGCCCGTCCTGCACCCCAGAGAGCTTCACGCCCAGCAAGACCACTGCCTGCGCCGAGTCCGTGATGGCGAACAGCACCCCTGGGCCCTCCGTGGCCGGCTGGATGTGGAACAGCAGTGAGAAGTCGCGGAAGAACAGGCTGGGGAAGTGGTACCGGGCCACTTGGCCGCTGTTGGCATCTGGCCCAAAGACGTAGGCCAGCCCGACGTCGGGGTCATCCGTCTGGGTGATTTGCTGGGGGGGAGGGTCCCCAAGGAGCTGCAGCAGCCCCACCTCCTCACCGGTGCTCTCTGCAAAAAGGAAGACAGCTGGTGAGGTGGCTGTGCAGGACAGTACCAGGTGCCACCAATGCAGCCTGCAGAGGCAGCCAGGCAGGTGCACAAAGGGGAAACGGAGTCTGAGAGGGCTTTCCACGCGCCTGGCAGCCTGCCCTGATGCCCTGGGCTCAGCCACCCAATGGCCACCCAACGGCCACCCTGGTTCACTCATTCCCAAACGACGGGCGCGCTCCGCGCAGAAACCTGCCTGCAGAGGACATGGTGTCCACAGCCCCTCCCTGCTTTCAGCACAGCCAGTGGGGAGAAGGGGCCGGGGACTGGCCGGCACCCCCGCCGAAGCAAGGAGCTGTGAGGGGCTGGGGCTGGCAGCCCTGTGCCCCGCCCGCCCACTCTGCCCCTGCTGGAGCAGCCCAGGCGGGCAACCCAGCGTGGCCTCCACTGTGAAGCCGCAGCTCCACCGCAGGGAAGGAAGGAGGCTGACTCCACACCCCAATGTTCTTCGAAGCCTCGGCTACGGGGCCTTGCCCAGAGCGGCTGCCTCGGCCGGGGGTCCGCGTGGCGTCTGAGAGGCACCGTGTGGGATTTCACCCAGCGCTGTCAGGGTGCCAGCTCACTCACTGGGTGTGGTGCCTCATGTGGCAAGGACAAGTAGTGTCTCCCACCCCACTGTGCTGATTCCCCTCGGGGCCACAGTCGCCCCTTGGAGGGGCTGTACGCCTGACGTACCTGCCAACATGCTGACGCCGACGTACCTGCCAATGTGCCACGGTCTCCCCACCAGCCCCGCTGCTCCCTGCAAATGCCCCACAGCGCTGGGTGACTCACTCCATTCATTCCTGCCCAGGCGGAGCTTGACCTCACTTCAACACAGTAGCCCAGGTTCAGAAGGAGCCCTGTCCATCCCTCTCCCAGGGAGCCCAAGCCAGGACGCAGCCCCAGTGCCCGGAGTTCTCACGCCTCGTTTCCTGCCCACGGGAGGGGGCAGCACCCACTCAAGGACAGACCCTGCTCAGAGTGACTTCCCAGCACACCTGCCATGCCAGGCAGAGCACGGGCTTTGCGGCCACAGTCTGGGCCAGGGACTTGCCCCAAGGCCCTACTCCCGTGACCGCGAGGCCCCGGACAGACTGGACACGGTCTGCTTCCGACAGAGTGTAACGGTTACTCCGGGACGCCTGTGCAGCGGGCTGGCTCCTGGTCGAGCTCTCCTGTGGGAAGGGGCTGCTGATGCCCAGGCGTCCTGAGGAAGGCGGGGGCGAGCACCTGTGCGCGTGTGTGCGTGTGTGCGTGTACCTGTGGGCTGGGGGCCCTGTGGCTGGGCCAGGCTGACCTGGGACAAGACACAAGGGAAGAAGTGCTGAGCCTGGACATCACGAGGGAAGCAGTACCTCCAAAGAGCTCACAGAACACAGAAGCAACGGAAACAAGAGTGCAGACCCCCCGGCCCTGGCACACGCCATGGGCACCTCCAGCGCCATCGCTGCCCCCGCGAGGCCCTGACTCCAGCATGAGGTGGTGTGGCGGCCTGGACTCCCTGTGGGCCCTACCCTCGTGCCGACTGGAAGCAGGGCCAGGCGCAGAGTGGACAATGGGCTCTGTGGACAGCAGCCTGGTCCGGCGCCTGCACCCCGAGGCTAGGGGCAGAGGGCTCTGGGGCCAGCAGTCATGCCCCCTCAGACAGAGGCTGCCGTCTACCCAGATGGCAGCTGTTACAATGATCCTTTCTTAGAAGAAGTGCCCAGGCCCCACATGTCCACGCCAGGGCTGTGCTAAGATCAGGAAATGGGACTCTTGGCCTGGGGGCCAGATGCCCTGGCAGTCGCCCAGCTGCCACCCGTCAGCACCAGGCGCTCCAGCCACTCCCCAGAACCAGCCCAGCCTGACTCCCTGGGGCACGGGGCCTGGAGTCTCTGCCGCCCCTTTGAAGGGGTCCTGAGGAAAAGATCCAAGGCTGCCTGGCCAGCCCCCTGCCCTCCCACACAGCCGCCTCCAGTCCTGCAGAGCCAGGGCTGCTCCTGCCTGCATGGGGCAAGCCGAATCGGGGAAGCCTAGTCCAGCCAGGTGGGTTTCATGTTGCTCAGGCAACACCCAGTTCAGCACTCAGAGGCCCAACAGCTTCCAAGACACAGGGTTTGATGCAAACTAGAAATTAAAGCAATCTCATGGGTGCTCCGAGAGAAAATGGCTCTGAGACAGGACGTTTCCCTCAGGCCAGGGGAGCCAGCACAGCCTGTCCTTCAGCTCCACCTGGGCCTGTTCAGAAATCCAAACGCACAGTGGTTGGGCCCATGGGGGCCAAGGGCAGGTGGGCTGCAGCATCCCCAGGGCGTGACCTCGAAGCCCAAAAACCCACAGCATCTATGCCATGGGAGCTGAGACCTCAGGGTGCGGCCACAAAAGCTGCCCTGTGACTCCCAGGACCAAGTGTCCTGGAGATCTGCGTGGCACCTGCATGGCTGCCCAGGTCCATGCCAGCAAGTGGAGGCCACGTCAGTGGTTCTGTGAAAGCTTTCAGGGACCCTGGAAGCCTCCATTTCAAGCACACACGTGCAGGACTCTCGTTAAACGGAGACGTCACAACTGATACAGAAGAGGCAGAAGAAGGACAAAAGCCAGAACCTGTAGTCAGTGACCACAGTGGCATGAGAGGGCAGGGCAGGTGCCGGTGAGCCGGTGGTTTTGGCGCCCGGGGCACAGGACATGGAGACCACATTGGTGGGCACAAGGCAAGCAGTGGATGAAAAATAGCGGCAGCAAGAAAAATCCAGCTCCACCTTGTCAAAAACGTTAGCTAAAGTAACACCAAAGGCTAACGGAAAACCAGCAGGTAAATGGCTGTGAGAGTGAGCACTGCAACACTGACATCAGCCAAACGGACCCGAGCTGGAGCCATTCGGCGGACAGAGGGGACGACGCGCCCTGACAGCCCTGTGGCGTCTGCCGAGCCAGAACCACCGCGGACCTGCAGGTGAGGGAGTCGCTGCCAATGACAGACCCTAAGGCTCCTCGCTCAGCCCACTTTCCTGTGAAGAGAGAAAATAACCACCTCAGTAAGACTCACACAGAGCTTCCGGAACCCGATCCAGAGCTTGAAGAGCGCGCCATCATCATTGCCCCATCACACCACAGCACTTACGCGGTGAAGTGCCCGGGGGCATCAACATGCCACCATCATCACCCCATCACACCATGGCACCGACGTAGTGAACTGCCCGGGGGTATCAGCCCGCCACCATCATCACCCCATCACACCGTGGCACCGACGTAGTGAACTGCCTGGGGATACCAACACACCACCATCATCACCCCATCACACCGTGGCACTGATGTAGTGAACTGCCCGAGGGCATCAACCCGTCACCATCATCACCCCATCACACCGTGGCACTGACACAGTGAACTGCCCGGGGGTATCAACCCGCCACCGTCATCACCCCATCACACCATGGCACTGACACAGTGAACTGCCCGGGGGTATCAACCTGCCACCATCATCACTCCATCACACCGTGGCACTGACATGGTGAAGTGCCTGGGGGGGACATCTTGGCCTCAAAGAAAAACAGCCTCTGAACAAACTCTTCCACCAATGCCCAAGGCTGCAGAGCCCCAGGGAGGGGCTAAAAACAACCTAAGAAACGGCTGTCCCTGGGTGGAGACTTCCTGCTGACACTCGGACACATTTACAACATCCAATCTCTCCACTGTCAGCGCTGACCCAAAACCCATGTCAGGCCCACGTGGGCAGCTCAGCTGGTGTCCGATAAACAAAGTCTGCACGATGAACCCGTCAGTCAGGGCTGAGCAGGTGTCTGCAGGGCCATCTGTTATACAGAGAAGCAGAAATAGCTGCAGGTGCTTCAGTCAGGAGGGCTGAGGAAAAGACCAGAACCACACGAAGAGCCAGGGCATCTCCCTGGAGTTAGGGAGACTCCTGAGATGCAGGATAAAGGAAAGAGGAACTTGCAGACACAGGGCAATCCCATTTATGCAAAGTAAGACTCCCATGCACATATGCACACATGTGCAGCCGTGCACATGGGCAAACTGTGGTGGGCCAAACCATGGCCCCAAGGATGTCCACAGCACAACAGCTGGAACCCACAAGCATAATTTTACGTGGCAAGGGGATGCTGCAGCTGGGACTCAGGCTGTGGACCTGGAGATGGGAGATGATCCACATCTAACCACACAAAGCCTTAAAATCGAAGGACAAAAGATGGTAGCGTGAGGACTTGCCCAACACCACTGGCTTTGAAGGGGGAAGAAAGGGTTTTGAGCGAAGGAAAGCAGCAGCCTCTAGAAGCTGGAAAAGTCAAGAAAACTGATTCTCCTCCAGAGTCCCAGAGGGACCCAGCCCTGACAACACCTTGGTTTCAACTCAGTGAACTGGTTTCAGACTCTGACCTCCAGAACTGAAAGATAAGACAGCTGTGCTGGTTTAAGTTACGGAATTTGTGGCAATTTCTTACAGCCGCCAGTAGGAAGCTACACACCTATGTGCAAATCGGTGCAAACCCATGGGGGCAGGTGGCCGCGGTGAGTGGGACTCAGGAGCTGTGTTCTGTCCTCTCACGTGTGGCTGGAGTCTTGCCGAGGGTCTACCTTATCTAAGGGGGTCTTGCGGCCCCAGGGCGAGCCGTTGACTTCTGGGACAGACTCCAGCCCACCAGGAAGATCTCATCCCCCAAATCCCATCCCAGGAAGAGGAAGAGAGGAAAACGGGAGGCTTTGGAGCTTCCACTGAGGGACTATGGGATCCACCTCTGCCCCAGTGCCCGGGCACTGCGCCACTCCCAAGGGCTGGGCAACCTGGAAAGGTAGTCACTCTGCCCCCACAGATGTGTGTCTCTTCCCCAGAGCTAGAGGCTTCCATCATGGTTGGGCTCCAGCCTCTGAGCTCTGGACCCAGCCACGGTGCCCATAGGGAGTTTCTCCCTGCACTTGGCATAGCTGGGTGGCATCCAGGATAGACACCTGCACATGATATAACAATGATGATGCCTCAAGAC